GGCCTCACCTGCAATATATTTTAAGTAGACAAATTATGACCAAGGAAGCTGATTATGAGTATGTTTGGTGAGATTTGTAAGTGCTTCAGTTTTTTGATACTATTTATGTTTCATAAGTTTAAAATTATTTTTTAAAAACTTACATTTTTTTACCTTTTTTTTTTAATCTTGAAAAAAACTTTAAACAGTAAATTTTAAAAAGTTTCAAACTTTTATTTTTTATAATTTTTTTATTCACTTCTTACTCATTTTTTTTATTTTCAAAAGTAATTTAAAAAAAATTTTAATAAAAAATTAAATTTATTACTTATAAACAGTAAAAAAAAATAAAAATTTCAAAAAAACCCCACCAAATAAACACTAGTCGACTTTTTGCTTGCTATATCTATTGTGTGACCTTCAATTACTTAATGCTTGGGCTAGTGTGATCAATTACTTAATACCCAAGCTAGCTTTATCATATCATACATGACATTTCCTTTGTGCGTATGTTGGCGAAGGATTGCTGTTAAGAGAAAAAAAAAAAGGAAAAAGGTTTCTCTCTTCCCAGCGCACGCAAGATTCTTTGAATGACAAGAAAGCAGTGGCATCCTAGAGCGCAACTGCAAAATGTTAAAAAGCAAGTAATGACTAGTGGGGTTGCCCACTTTCTTTGAGGTTACTATAAACTAAAATGCCAAAAACATGTGCTGGCCCTCCGAAATCCCAATTGCAATTTTTAAACGAGTCAGCTCCTAATTAACATGATATTCAATTCAATTGCTTTATTATTATTATTATTATTATTTTATCATCTAACAATAATGGATTAATAAGAGATGATAGCATCATTTTTCTTTAAGGTGGTATTACAGGAAAAACATTTTTATTTCGTTTTTTTATATAATTTTTATATGTCATTAAATAAGTAGATATATTCAATATCATGGATTTTACATAAATTAAAAAAATTAATCAGTTTAATGATACATTAAGTTATACAAAAAGATAAAATAAAAAAATTATATAAAAAGCATTTTTCTTTCCCTTAAATCTTTTTTCATCCAATTTAAAATTTAAATTTAAAATCTTTAATTTATAAATTTAAATTTGTAACAATCAAACCACTTCTTTAAAATCAATTACTTTATTAATTAAGGCATGATTTGTTCTTAAATCTTTGATACCATCAAACAATTTTATTAGTATTTAAACATATAATCCAATGATATCAAATCACATATAAATGCATTTATTTTTCGCATAACAACAGTTCAAATCCATCCTTACAAATTTGTTAAAAAAAAGAAAAAAAAAATCAAACGATTCTATCAACTCTACTGATTGACACCTTCAAATTTAATCTCTTTAATTTCACAACTTTAAAGTTACGACTTACGAGATCTTATACTCTACCGCTATACTAGCCTTTCAAGAATCCAACATATATAGAGTAGTCATACATAAACGGTTGTAATCTCGGATGATATGATAATACTGAAATTTTGTATTTCCTTGTTGGTTATGATTCGGCGCCAGTCAAGTGATCTTGGATCCCAAAGCCACTTGTTTAACAAAGAAAAATTAAAAGCAAAGAACAAAGTGCCATTTGCCCTTTTAGACTATAGAATCCAAGAAAAAAAAAAAAAGAAAGTCTTGATAAAGAACCGAAAAATTTCCAAAGTGACGAAGGCTACATAGGTCTGTCCATGTGGTCGGTGGTACGTGGCAGCGTACCATTAGTCATGCGTTTCAAAAAATGATCTCAACCACAAAAATATGAGTAAGAAAATCAGGAAAAAACCAAACCGACCCCTGCAATCTTCCTGCTGGATTGCAAACCTTCCTCAAAAGGAAGAATCTTCATGATCCAAGTAATTAAAGCAAAGCCTTTCCTTTTTCTTTCTTCCACATAGCCTCTATATAATCAATCAAGCATTATTTCTCTCCCATATTCATAGCCATGGCTGACAACAACTCTTCTCCCCCGTTGCACCTATGTTTCTTACTTCTAATCCTTTTTTTCTTCATGGGATTATCATGGTATGTGAACTATGAACCGGTGCTGGAAAGTGTGCTGGACCGGGTGAAGTTGTTGCTGATGGTGTTGCCGCTGCTGCTTCTATTGGTTGTTCACTGGCTTTCCAACAACCAGGACATCGGCCTATATGTATCCTATTTCCTTCCCCTGCCGGCACAGGACTCTCTTCATGGAGCCGGGGGGACTCCTTGGGGTGTTGGATTCTTGCTTGTGTTTCTGCTCATCATGTTGTCTTTCCAGTCTGCTTTCCAAGAACGTTGGTTCCCTCTTCTTAGTAGATGATTTATATGAAATAAGTAAAATGTTATTTTTGTTCTTAGTATTAATTAATGTAATTATTACCAGAATGAATACTCTAGGTTGTTCTAGAATATATTAGATTCCATTTGGCTACTCAAGTTTATATTCTCAAATGGTTCTGTATTCTTTCTTCAGAAGAGCATTATAAGAATGCTTGGTCCTCTTCTTTAGTTCCCCTTCCTTCCTACCGGTGTACTTGGGCCTAGACCACACATGCCCAGTTACTACCTCTTCTTCCCTTGTGACCTTATATTGGCCCATTAAACCATTCATTTGTTCATCATAAGAACACTTTTTCTCCCACGCATCAGCAATATAATCAGCAGATCCTGGAACGTCAAGGCATATCACCAGGAACAAAGTAGAGCTCAGACGATCCAGAAATAACTCCATCATATGAATCCTTAATCTGGGGATATAGTTTTCCCCAGGGTGGAGACAGGGATTCATCACTACAACCACTATCACTTTTATTACTTTGAAATCTCTCTTTGCTTCAGAAAATCTCAAGCCATGTTTTGAGAAGCAGTTTTCTAGAGATGGGGTTGAGACTTGTATAAAACAATGCCATTGTTTAAGTAACCCAAGTTCATCCAAGTAGACCATTGACAACCTGCCTAAAGGAACAAAAATCCTCAAGTAGACCATTGACAACCTGCCTAAAGGAACAAAAATCTTCGCCTTTTCCCTGAGACCCCAAAGCTGAGCTGCTCTTATACAAGTCGGCATCCCCTGTAAATGAGGCTCTTGTTGAGGCTTGAAAACTGCACTGAGCATTTGGCCGCTGTATTCCCTTGCTAAGAGCAGGATGAAGTGATAACTTCAAATGCTACATCCATGTCCATGAGGATTTTATTTAACCTGGAATCATGGAAGCTGGCATTCTCCAAACTGCTTCAAAAGGAGAACATATGCATGGGGCTCCACCCTCTCAAAATCATCTTTTCTTGGGATGTTTGCAGTCTCAAAAATCTGAAAGTCAGGATAGGATTCTGGCGGTGTTCAAGAAGTCTTCAGTCTATAGCGTCAAACACCAAATCCTTCATTTCCAAGGTAATCCATGAGATCTTGCACGCTAACATTACTGCCAAATCCACCAATACTACCTGTGTCTTCACAGTGTCCTCCTCACTTCCTTCTGACTCCATCTTCTCCCAAAAAATCAACCACTTCGGGTTATTGCCAAGCAAATTCCTCGAACAAAACCTGATACAAGACAAAATACAAATTAAAGACATAACATTATGATAGATTTAACACTATGATCTATGCAGAACCCCAGAACTAATGATTCTGTCCATCTATCGCGCATAAATTAATGGTGTGTTTTCTACCAACATATGAAGAATTCACATAAACTAGGGTTATTTTCCTAAATTTTAATTGAAGACAGTTCTTGTCCTGACCCAGAAAAGTGTAATAATTAATTTTGTGATCAGGTCAGTTCTGTAGTTTAATTCATATCATGAAGAAGGAGACTACTGAAAGGAATTAAGATGAAAAATAAAGATCAATGCAATGCATACTGAAAGGAACACTTGAAACAAGACTAAGAAGGTCACCATTTACCATTAACCAAAAATGGAAATACCCAAATCCCATTTTCCCTTTCTTTTCCTTTAGAACCCGTGAACCGGCACTTTCTCATCAACCAAATGAAATTCTAAATTGAACCCATTAACCCACAGCAAAACCCATTCCATGAAACCCAACAAAGTACAATTTTTTCAAGATTAAAGACAACGAAAACGGCTGTCTAACCACGAGAATCTCCTTCAAAACAGCAAAGGAACCACCTTCACGCGTTTGAGTAGTGAGCCACCAGGAGAAGAGTTGTTTAGGCAAACATCCTGCGGAAAACTGAAAAGAATTTTTTTTAAAACTAGTACAATTAGAATCAAGAATGGGATTGTCAAGATTATGTCTTAAACTTTTAGACGTAATCACGCTTCTCAAAATGGAATTGTTGCCATTGCACCATGGTTGGCAGAACACTGAATGAGTTGATTAACGAAGGAAAGAAGTAGGCCTTTTTTTGCCTCTTCCACTCTCGTTCTTCTTATTCTGTTTCAACTTTCAACTTATAAGCGAAACCGTACTGTTTCACGCATGCTCTGTTCATTGGGTACTCAACCCGTGACCAAGTGGAGGACAACGCCGATTTTCGTTTAAATTGGGTTGTTCTTCAATGTAAAAATTGAAAGAACCTAATTAGACCAATTTAAAAGCTAGAGGGTTTAACTTATCGTTTTTCCGTCTCCTTCCTGCTCGTCTTCTTCCTATGCAAAACCCTAAACCCTGCATCTCAAACATCTCTCCCTCTGTTTCCCTCCTGTTGAAACCCTGAAAACAGACGTCGAAAATGGGGATTTTTGAACCGTACAGAGCATTGGGTACATAACAACCGGCGTTCCTTTCTCCGTTCAAAGGTTGGTCACTGAAACCTTCGTCACCGTCAGTGTTGGCAAAGCTTTTCAGATATACAACGTAAAAATCCAACCTTTCTTCTAGTTCTTTTTTCTTTTTGAAGGGTTTTTTTTTTTTTTTTCTCAAGTTTTGGATGATTTTTAATTTACTTTATTACGTTCTGGGTTCTTCAACCAGTGCGCAAAGCATAAATTGGTGCTGATGGGTGAGTTTTTTCTGCTTTTAATTTCATTCTGAAGTTTAATTTGTGGTTCAGAATGATTAAAGGGTTGGTTTGAGGTTTGAAGCTAAGGGTATTATTAATGGTTAATTTGAAATTGTCATACCAAACTGCCCTAAAAATGATTTCTTTTTTTGATGTTAAGGTCCTCAATTACCGAACAAAATACGAGCACTTGCTTCACATCGTGACTATGCCTTTGTTGCGTATGGAACTCATATTGCGGTCTCTAAGCAAACTCATCACGTGCTTACACTTTTCCTCCCGTCCCGTTTGACTCTATCTACTTCTAGAGTTTGGTGGTGAAGTGATGCTTTTGTACTTTTGCAGGTAGCGACGTGCCAAGGTCAATTCTCTGCTTTTGTTTGGACAGCACAATCAGTGTAGATGCTGATGGAAATATCTTCTTTGGGGCATTAAAAGGAATTGAAAATAATCTTGCTCCAATTGGACGCATCAAACCAGATGAAAATTTTAGTGCTTCGGCGAGATAAATGCTATCAATGATTTAAATAATTTAATAATTATTTTTTTAAAAAAAATAAAATATTATAAATTTAAGTCATATGACAATAAATATGATCAATTAAAGGATGAGAAATAATTATGTTTCATTATATAACCAAAATAATAAAAAAAAAAACCAAGATAATTGCTATGCACGTTTTCTTTGACAAAAGTCGTGTTTTACAAGTTTTACATATATAATAAAACTATAATGGGTGTTTTGGGCTGAGAAACTTATAAACAGGTTATTATTGAGAGTCAATAAGGTTCTTTGCAGCTTTGGATCATTGGCACAAGGAAAAAGATTTTTCAAGTTGGTTGGTAAAGGTCACGTATCTGAGATCACTTATCTCCTCTATAAAAATTATAGCAATTTGAAAGTCAAAATTGCCAAAAAGTTTTTACATATATAAAAATTATTAAAGCTTTCTTTCTACCTTTTTTCTCCAAAATTGTTTCACTTGCATGTTTGCTGTATCTGCAAATACCTTCTCTTATGCTCTCTCAATAAATATTTTTATCATATGAATAAATTTTTTAATGATTTTTTCTATTTTTTTAAAAGATAATTTAAATCTGTTTAAAGTGATAGAAAGTCTTTAAATTTATTAACAGGTGTGTGTGTGATTTTTTTTCTTGTGGGTTTTTGGAAGGGACTTTAACAACTTGAGCTTGGGTTCTTTAAAAAGGAAATCAACAGTTCTGCCGGCAAGAACCCAAATAATTATGAGTTATTTAAAGAAATTTTGATTTTTAATTTTTCTTTTTTGGCCACAAAGTTTAAGGAAAAAAAGGTAGGTCATAAGTGGGACTTGCATGAACCAGTCCAAAAAGAAGGTGAGTGGAACTTACATGCTTTATGAAATGAATTTAGAGGTTTAAATGCGTCAACTTTTTGTTTGGGGGTTGATTTGCCACCATTTGATAAGTACAGTGGCTGATTTGCCCTTTTTGTCAAAAATGAAGAATCCGTCACCATTTTTACCAGAATCGCAAGCCTGCAGAATTGTAAAGAGCAATTGAATCGAATAATAGTTATATTCCCAGGATTATATACACCATCCTAGGATTCCGAAATACAAAAGGGTTAGGACTTTACCTTAAAAAGGTAAAATAATAATAATAATAATAATAAAAGCTAGGACTTCTTCTTTTCTGTCGTGTTAAAAATTTAATGCCACTTAATGCTTAAAATGTACTATATTAAGTTCAATTAAAGCCTATGTTTGGAGTTTGTATAAAGTATTGTGACTATTGGTGTTCTAGTATTTAATTATGAAAAAATTATATTATTATTTGATAATTATTTTAAAAATAATTTTATATATTAATATTATTATAAAATTATATAAAATATCAATTAAAATAAAAAATTTTATATCAATTTCAATTTTTAAATAAATTAGAGTTCTAATATCAAATAACATCATTTTATTTAATATTAATATCTATATTTATAAAATAACTATGTATTCTAATATAATCAATTTTAAATTCATGTATTAATATTAATAAAATGTTTATCATATATAGATGAATAGTTAATTAAGAATTATCTTATAATTAATATTTAATAAAATAAATTTTAAAATTTTAAATTGAGTTTTTAATTTCTAAATATAAATGTTAACATTTAATAATATCAATTTTTAAAATTTAAATTAAATTTTAAATAAATAAAATAAGGTTAGAATATTAACATTTTAAAATTAATTTAATTATAATAAATTAACATTTAATAAAGAGTAATCTTATTGCACTTTGGTTTTCTGATAAGTGGCAACAAAATCAAGTTAAAGTGATTTCCTCTTTCTTAAACAACAATTCAAATTTGACTTTTCTAAACATGTTTAAAAAGGAAAAAAAAAAAAAGAAAAAAAGAGTGACCTTATTTTCTTTTTAAAAAGCCCTAAACTTTCTCTTTTCTACATCTCTAGTCGTAACTTCTCTACTCCTCCTCCGTTCACGATCCCGATGGCAGAAGTGGGTGATTGTATTTATTTATTTATAAAAAGACAAAATAGAATGTATAGAAAAATAGTACTTTACAAAAAAAAACTAATTAAAAAGTATTTTATAGAATAGATTATATATTAAAAATATAGTTTATTTTATAAATTTATTAAAATTTTTTTAATAAAATAATATAAAAACTAATTTTACTAAAAATATTTTAATAAATTCATAAACTAAACTACATTTTTAATTTACAATCTAGTTTATAAAACTTGAATCCCAAAATTAATTTCTAAAGTTAATTTTATTTTAAGTCATTAAATTAATAATATCCATCAGCTAATATATATCACCATCCATAAGAGTTTTATCAAGGTATTAATTACTAAATTAAAAATTTTGATTTAAAATTAAAAGAAAAAGAAATCTATTACTGGGGTCATACAAAGTAGAAAAAATTGAAGGTAAGTAAATAAAACTGGCAAATAGACTTCAATGAATAAGTTTGTCTGAGCTAGGTTAATGTTATGAAAAATATATATTTTACTAATATAAATAAAAACATATATATTACTCTCAATTTTTAAAATAAATTAAAGTTTTAATTTTTCATTTAATTAAAATTTAATTTTAAATTTAAAAATCTATTTTTTTAAAAGTTATAAAAATCTATCTTATTAAAAATTGATATTTAAATTTAAAAACTAATTACATTACCAATTATATATTTTAATATAATTAATTTTCAAATCCAGTTATCAACATTTAATAGAGTAGATTTCTAAATTTTAATTTAGAATTTTAATTTTTAAATATAACTTAGAATCCTAATTTTTTTAGAAGTGAAAATTAATATACATTGACCTCATATAAATAGTAATTAATGTTAAAAAGTTAACCCAAATGGTCTAATTAAAATCAAATACTAAGTTATTAATCTAATTAATTTGATAATAACCTTTTGTAATAGAATTAAGAGATTTTAACTTTAAGCCCTTTTATATGTAAATGGGATGTGTTAAAGGATAAGTGAAGGTTATTTTTAATTATGTAAATATAGATAAAAATATCAAATATTAAAATTAATATTATTTTTTTAATGTAAATAGACACAAATTAAATTAAAAAACGCTAGATGAATAACGAGCCAGGTAGGCTTATCTATTAAAAAAAATAAAAATGTGTTTTATAAAATTAAATTATATGTTAAAAGTGTAATTCATTTTATAAATTTATTAAAGTATTTAATAAAATTATTTTTTATCTTATTTAATTAAAAATATTTAAATGAATTTAAGAAATAAATTATATTTTTAATCTACATCAAAGACTATAATACATAATACATGAATGCATACAAAAAAGGTTCTCATCACTAGCTATAATCAACGGTGGAGCTGGTAATTGGCTTTGAGCAGGTGAATTTGCATGTGGGATGTCGAGAATCTAAATCTTTTGATAATTTTTTCGTGAAATTTTCTTACCTGTGCTCATAGCGCACCGTTAAAGCTTATTAGATGTAGTATTTATAAGTAATTTTGTATAAATTTTTATATTAAGTAAATTTTAAATAAAATAGAAAAAATGAAAATAAAATAAAATAAAATATTTAAATTTAAATTTTATTAAAAAATATAAATTTAATACAAAGTTTAAATAAAATTAATTGTAAATATTACACTATAATTAATAAAATATAAAGATACAAATTAAATATATTTTTTTTGAACGTATTTTGCAAGGACAAATTTTGAACCCTGCCGGAAGAAGGGGAATGCACCGTGGCTATGCCACTAAGGCTGAAAGGCCAGTGCAATTAAATAAATTCTTTTCCTATACAATACACTGACCATTAAATATTTATTCATAGAATCATAAGCCCGTATTAACTAACGGTAGGTAGCTCATAAACTCATAGCCTCTTGTTAATGGTTACGGAATCCAATGATGAGATTTATTAGTAGTCAATTTTATAAGTTCAGTTTCAAAGTTTAAATATT